CGCCCCCCGACACCCTGTGCTCTGCTCCCCCCGCCCCCACATTGCCACCCCTCACCCCCCACCCCTGCCGCACCCAGGCTCCCTCCAGACTCTCGGTGAGCACATGAGGCTTGCTCTGCCCAAAGCGCTTTCCCAGCTCGGACCCTGGACTCCCTCCCCACAGGCAGCTGCCCGCAGCCCTTGGCAAGCGCTGTGTCCGGGTGAGGCCCCTGCAGACGGGAGGTGGGTGCCAGCAGGTCCTGCAGATGCACGGGCCAGCCGGGGGCACCGGGCGGGCAGGGACTCAGGCTGGAGGCTCAGGGCTCTGGCTCCAGGCCACCATGACCTTGTAGGGCCAAGCGTCAGGGGGCCGCCCTCCATACCTTGCCCCCGTGCTGGTGTCCAGTCCCACAGGGGTCATACCTGGCTCTCCTGCAGGTAAGGGCTCCCGTGTAGGGCCCCGCCCCCTTGCCTCGGCAACTGAGGACCCCACCCGCCTGGTCCCTGGCCCCAGGTGGTGCTGGGCCAGCTGAAGGGTGTCTGCTGACCTGCCACACCAAGGGTCCTGAGATCCAGGCCGTCCAGCACATGCCTGCCAATGCCCACCTCACAGGCAGTCGTCGCTCAAAGCCCCCTGCACCCTGGGCTGCTGCTCAGTGTCACCACAGGAATTCGGGGGCTGGCAAGGGCTGGGCAGGGGCTGGGCAGGCCCACGGGCAGCTGATAGTGAATCAGCTGGGGAGGTGGCCAGGGCCAAGCACCGCATTCTCAGGAGATGTGTCACAGAGGAGCCCCTGGGGGCTGGTGCCACCCAGGAGTAAGGCCTGCCGGGGAAGGAGCTGCTCCTCCAGGGGTCCCGCACGTGGCCTAGTGCCTTGTGGGAGTGGGAGGCCATCCTCTGCCCCACCCAGAAGGGACCTCGAGCATGCATGGGAGACAGAGGTGCAGGGCCGGTGGGGGCAGGGGATGCAGAGCACCCAGACCTGATGCAGGCAGCCCATGGTCTGACCCCCACCAGGGGCTTGACCCCCAAACAAAGGGGACACGACCTGGCCCAGCGGGGCTGAGCCCCGGGCCTCCCACCCAGCAGACAGCAGTGCCCACCAGTGCCGGGGCAGCCCCTCCAGCAGAAGCGGGTGTTGACAGGGCATGGAGGCCCGCACAAGGGCCCCATGAGCTCCTGTCCCCAGCCGCTCCTTTCTGAACCTCCACTGTCCTTTCAGCACCGGGCGCCCGCATCCGGGGCTGTGTCCAGGCAGGCGTGCGAAGGGCCCTTCTCAGGACTCCTGCCCCGGACCCCAGCGTCCACCCTGCAGGCAGGGGCGGCTGGCTCGGAGCCAGTCACCTCAGGGGGTTCCTCTCGACAATGGCGGGGGGCATGGCACCCCCCCACCCACACGGGACAGCGCAGGGCAGGAAGCGGGGTGGGAAGAGGGGGCTAGTGGGCTGGGCGTGGGCGGGGCCACCACTTGCCGCCCCCCTGCCCCAGCTCCTGGGACCTTTCCATTAGAGAAAGTGTCTCTAACTATTAAATATTTACCCCAGTGAGCTGGACCCTTGGCTCCCAGCGGCCTGCGGCTTCCAAAAAAAGACAAACAAAGGGAAGCCTGGAGGTAGAAGCAGGAGCTGGGCGGGGCCTGGCCCATGGGGAGGCTCGGGGAGGTCGGGCGCACACAGGGTCCCACCGTGCACCCAGCTAAGAGCCCCCCACCTCTCCCCACTTCCCCGCTGGGCCCCTCTGCCTCTCCATTTCCCCTTCCTCTGCCCAGCCTCATCTCTTCCCATGGGGACTGCCCCGAACCCGTGTGGAGCCCCGAGCGCCCTGGGAACAAACCCCCCCAACCGCTGGCCCCTGCCCTCTCTACCCTTCTTCACCCCTACGCCTATCCCCAGACCCACCCTGTAAATCTGCTTGTTGTCCCCCAGCCAAGGCTCTCCAGGCCACACGCACGTTCCTCCAGGAAGCCCTCTCTGACTCGTCAGTGCAGCCGAGAGGTGCCTGACTCACCTTAGCCGAATAAACAATGGTACAGTGTTCCCTGATGTGTGACCTCCCAGGTCCCGGGGCCCCTGCCAGAGCCCGGGGTGCACGGTCGGCCTCCTCCTGCCTCCACCCAGAGGGCTGTGCTGGGGAGATCTGGGCTTTCATGCCTGGAGCGAGTGGCGGGGGGGGGGGGGGGGGCAGAGGGCTAGTGCCCTTCCCCACCTGCTGGGTCCTTCCCCCTCTCACTGCCACTTCCCCACCCCCAGGCAGGCCAGCCCCAGGCTCAACCTGAAACAGAAGCCTTCAGCAAAGGGCAGTCATGGGAGAAAGGACACAGCGCGGGCTGGAGCCTGAGGGTGAGACAGGGTTGGGCCCAGCAATCCTGGAGGCTTCCTGGAAGAGGCAGCTTCTAGCAAGTCCAGGATGGAAGAGCTCAACCAGATGGAGAGAAGGCCCCGCACTCACCACTGCTGGCACACGGGGAGGCAGGGGCTCCTGGGCCCTACCCCCCCACCACTCTCCTGAGACCCTGGAGCAGCGGCAGACTGTCCAGCTTGAGTTTTCCTACCGGGAGAAGAGCTGGGGTGCTGTCAGGGACACATCTGCCAGCAGCACCTGCGGCGGCTGGGAGAACCCACCTCAGAAAGCACAGGGAAGGAGGGAGGGTGGGGACCAGCCCAAGATGACCTTCACCCCTCCTCCTTGCTGCTGGCTCCTGCCACGGACACTCTGGGCAGGAGGGGGCACTCCAGAGCCCTGCCTGGTGGGGTGGCCGCACCAGCACCTGCCCGACATCACCGCCCTCGGCCTGCGGTTTGGCCACTCCGGCCCCTGTAGAAACCAGAAGGCTCGACCTCGACCTCAGTGCAAGGCCCTGCCTCACTGCTCCAAGACTCAGCATCCCTGTCTGCAAAATGGGGACACAGCCCTGTGCCACTGGACAACCCAGGGCAAGCTGCCAGCATGGACACTGGAGACACTTGCCACCCGCGCCGGCACTTGGCCTCTCCGCCCGGCCTCTGCTGTGGGCGGCCGTGCTCACTCCCGTTCACAGGTGCTAGTCGCAGCCCACAGACCCCTGCAGCCCCAAGCCCAGGGCCCTGCAGAGGCCACCAGCCCCGTTCAGAGGAGGGAGGCCACTGCAGGGAGGCCCCACATTGCGATGCGCCTGGGAAGGGCCCCAGACTTACCACGGCCCCCCACAAGAAGAGACCACCCAGACTCTCCTTCATGGTGGGCCCTCCCTGGACCTCGTGGGGGCTTCTCAGAGTGGGGATGGGGGGGGTCTCAGGCCAAGTCAGGGGCCTCAGGTGCAGGGCAGGGGCCCGGGGCAGGAGCCGGGGGCTCCCTGTCAGTCCAGCTGCCCAGGACCCAGCTCTGCCTTGGGAAGAAACCGGCTGCCTCGGAGGGATGGTGGGGAGGGGCGGCCGGGCACCCCGGTGGAGCTCCCTTCCACGCCCGTTTGGCCAGCCGCCAGGGGCCAGCCTCCCAGTGCGGGTGGGGCGGCCGACGGCTGCCTCCCCCTGGCTGGGGGTAGCAGGGCACCCAGGCTCTGGGAGGGGTCTTCAAAGGACCTAGCATGGCTGGCCCAGGAGCAGGCTGGGACCTGGGCAGCAGGATGAGGGTGGGGTGCCGCCTGCCCGTCTCCCGCCCGACGGGGGGCGGCGGGGGGACCGCAGCTGGGAAGACCTGGACCAAACCCCCAGGACCGCACGTGAAGTGATGTTGTCTAGCCTCCGTGAAGGGAGGGCGAGGGCCTGGGGATCCGCACGCTGGACGGAACGGAACCCCCAGGGGCTCTGATGCACTAGGTCTCGTACCCACGCCCCATGACAGCCCCTGACATTCCCTAAGGGCTGCCCCACAGGCCGGCCCCAGGTCAAAGCAGAGAATAAGGGTCTCAGCGGGGGGGAGGGCTGTCCCGACCAGGCCATCTCAAGGCAGACGGGTGGAGGGGGTGGCCTTGCACCCTGCATCCCGGGCGCCTCTGGGCAGCCTGGGAGTGAGGGTGTAGGCCGGTGGGAGATGCCGGAAGCAGAGCAATGGCCCCACGTCCCTCTGCCCCCCTCCTTTCCCTGTGATACAGCAGATCCCCAGGGATGCGGGCCAGGGCCGCCACGGTCAGGAGGAGGGGGCTGGGGACCCACAGCATCTATCATCCTCCCAAGGCTTGTCCAGGGAACATCCCTGGGACGAGGGAGGCCCTGACAGGAGGCCAGCTGGTGTTCAGCAGACAGACGGGCAACAGAAGGGACCATGGGGACTGCCGCTGCGGCTGGAGGGGCGTGCCCAGGCCAAGGGGCAGCCCTCCCCCTCTGCATCAGCAGCACCATCATCATCTTCCTCCTCTGCGTTCCTCAAGGAGTGGGGTCCGGTCTGCGCCACTGCAGCAAGGCCCAACCCTCCTTGCTGGCAACTGGCCAGATGCCCTGGGCGTGGCTGCCGCATCCCTGACCCAGAGCTGGGATAACTGCCCCTGCCTCACCCCACCTGCCCCCCAAGACGCGGAGACACGCAGACGCGGGAACCAGACCTCGAGCGGGGACAGACAGATGACAAAGCACCTGCTTCCCATTCTGCGGGCAGAGGCGAGGGCAACACCCACCTTCCCTTGCCCAGCACCAGGGGCCCTGTGGCCCCTCACCCAGCCGCAGCCCTTGGGGCCAGCCCTGCCGAGCCCCCGCCTAGCCGGTGAGCCAGCCACACTGTGGACCCACCCAGCCCTAAGTCCGTGGTCCTCCGGCCCCAAAGCAGGGCCCCTCCGGGCAAGCCTGGCTGCAGGTCCCCGTGCCAGGTGACCCACGGCCCCGACGCCCCACTCACACGTGCGGCCTCGCCGAGCGGCCGCCTCTAGGGACACGGGGGCAGTGACAGGGAGGGAAAGCCAGGCAGGGAGAGTGACAGAGGCGGGAGCGACAGAGGGAGTGGCAGAGATGAGTCAGCGACCCCGAGACGGTGAGCGGCAGAGATGGGAGAGGGAGGCAGAGCCAGGTGAGAGGCGAGGTGCAGCGGAGGCAGCAGGCGGGAGGAGGCGCACCGCTGCCGGGGGCTCCGGGCCAGGAGGGCAGCACCACGTGGAAACAGTCGCACATCGCGGCGCCGGGCGGTGCGGGCCGGCGGGCCCGGCGCGTCCGGTCGCGGGTCTGGGCTCGGCGCGCGGGCGGCCGGGGAGCCGGGAGGGCGCTGCCGCGGGCGGCGGGCCTCGACTGCGGACCCCGCCGGCGCCCGGGACCCCGCCGCCGCCCCGCCCCGCCCCCTCCCGCCCATTGGCTGGCGCGCCCCGGCCCCGCCCCTCCGGCCCCGCCCCTCCGGCCCCGGCCCCGCCCCCTCCGCCCTCCGCCCGCCGGCCCCCGCCCGCCCAGACCGCGCGCCTCGGGCCGCTGCCGGGCAGGGGTCCCCACGCGGACTGGAGCCGCCAGCGGGGGCGGGACCCCGGGGTCACAGGGGCAGAGGGAGCCCGAGGGGCGACGGGCCGGAGATCCGACCTCCCGGCCCCGCCCAGGGGCTCGCAGTCTAGACGCTGCTCTGCCGGGGAGCGCGCTGCCGCGGTTGGGGTGCGTGGGGGGTCCCGGCAGGCTCCCAAGGGGCCGTCCCAGCTGGGACCGCAGGAGTGTGCGGGAAGAGTGTTCCCTCGAGGCCACAGAGGGCCCAGGCCGAGAATTAGGTGCAGCGGGGCGGGGGGCAGCGAGACCGGGCGGTGGGAGCTGAGGAAAGACCCTCCCCAGACCCTCCCCGGGGCGGCGGCGGGGGGGCAGGGAGCTTGGGCCCTGCTGGAAGTCGGGAGCCCTGCAAGAGGGAGGGTGGGGCTGGGCCCGGGCAGCAATATGAGGAGGGAGACAAGGCCACAAGGCCCCGGATGCTCCAGAGGGCCTTGGTAAGGGCTGGGGTGGGGATGGCTGGGGGCCCCTGAGCTCCAGCCTGGGTGCTGTGCAGAACACCACACTCCTTGGGGAACCGGCAGGGAGTGGGAAGGCCCAGGAGAATTCTGTTTCCAGCAAAGTAGGAGTTCGCTGAGGCCCAGCCTGGCGTAGACCTGAGGAAGGGCACCTTGGAGGTGTGGGTCCCACTGGGGCTGCGGGCGGGGAGCCTGGGCCAGAACAGACCCAGGAACGCATCGCTGCGCCAAGGAGGACCACGCCTGGGCGCCACCTAGGCATGTGCCGGTGGTGCTGGGACGGACAGGTGGACACACACACATACCTGCTCCTGGGGCAGAGAGAGACGGGGAGCCACTCAGACACAGGGACGCACATGAGACACACCCAAGACACACAGGTAGACAAGATGACGCACATGTTCACACCAATACACAGATGGGTTTGAATGTGTCTCTGTGCACAGAGAGGCACACACACAGTCCCACCCATGCTGACACAAGTGCACCCGTTGGACCCAAGAGCCCAGGTATGCACAACCGGACACAGACACACACATGCACACACAGGTGCACTCTCCTCCTGGGGCTCCTTGGGGATGCCGGCAGGGCCCAGGTGAGCCTGCCCAGCAGGATGACTCATGTGTGCCAGTTCCCGTTAGCTGGGCTGCAGCCGGGCAGCCTGCCAGCAGCAGGTCCCACAGACATGCACATCACTGCTGGGAAGAGGCTCTGCAGCCTCTCATCCACGGGGCCCACGGACAACGGGGTGCAGCTCTGTCCTTCAGGTGGGGACAATGGGGTGTGGGGTTTTCCCTATGGGCTGGGCAGCATTGCCCTGGAGCCACAGACCCTGCGCCCTCCTCCTTCCCTGGAGTCCTGCCCTGCTCTGTTCTTCTGGGAGTCAGCTGCTCATGGGTGCAGGGAGGGAGCACTTTTTGTGTCCCTGGGTGTGTCCCACATCTGTCCAGATCTGTTGGGATCCCAGCCTGCCCATCTGTGTATGTGAGTCTGGCATTGGGGGCCAGGGAAGAAGGGGCACTTGTCCAAGCGGGGACCTTGGGACACAGACCCAGTTCTGTGTCCCCCCACCCCATGACATGAGTGACCTTGGCAAAGTTGTGTGTCCAAATGAAGCGGTCTCATTCCATGTGACATATCCTGATCGTCTAGCATGATGCATGTGGGGCTCTGAAGGGCAGAGGGGGATGGGTGGGGAGGCCAGGGAGCCGCCCCACCTAAGCAGAGGTCAGGAGGAGGGGTCTCACATGGCTGCTGACGGAGCAGCCCCCAGCGGGCCAGTGTGCAGCTGGGCGGTCCCTGGGACCCTGACCAGCCAGGGCCTGGGGGGGACCAGGGCAGGGACCCTCCCTGCAGCTGCTTCTGCACTGGCCTTGGTGAGGCCTGGGTGGGCTTGCACTGCCCTGCTGGAGCCTCGCTTACCCTGCAGCAAGCGAGTTGGCTCGGCACTGACCCAGGGCCCTAGATCCAGGGCACTCCTGCCCCAGAGGCCGCCCCTCCCGTCTCCTGCAGAAAGCTGGCATCACCTGTTCTGCTCACCCCTGCACACTCCCCGGGGGACCCTGTGGGCCTCATTTCATCTATAGGGGGGCCTGGCCCCTGTGTAGAGGAAGACGGCCCCTAAGTCGGCCCTCTCCCCCCTGGGCCAGCCAGACTGGGCCCTGCCTCCTGTGTCCACTCCCTCCTCCCACCTACGGGGGCCTCAGAAGCCCCAGCCTGGCCCCAGGATCACAGGGTGGGCCCAGGGAGAAAGCTGCTCAGGTGGAGCCTGTGAAGCGCATCCAGGCCTCCCCACTCCCCGCCTGTCCCTCCCCGGAGCTGAAGCCTGGCAGTGAGCCTGCCGCAGAGCCCTGAGCTGCCAGAGCTGCTGTCGTCATGCCCCGAGACAGCCCGGTCCCCTTGGCCCCTCCGGGCACAGATGCCTGCTGGGGAAGGTGACAACAGTTGGACGTGGCTGAGGAGTCACTGTTCCCCCACAAGCACAGAGCCCTGGGCCCAGCCCGCCCACCCCTGGCCCCCACACGGCCCCCACCACTGAGCGCCGGGAGGGCAGTGGCGGTCGTGCAGTTCCCCGGGCTCTCTCCCCTTGGCACGCACGGGCTTCACCGCCTCCCTGGGACCACCACGCCGGGGACCCCACGGCCCTCGTGATGCTCGGGGGTCTCCCGAGGTGGGCTGTCTGGGAACTGGTGGGGCCAGGGTGACGGGTGGTGGCTGCCGACTCCACAGGCCGGGGTTCCCCAGCAGAGCCCCCCACCCCCACTCCGCGCCCGCTGGTCGCTCTCGGGCCTCTCCGGGCGGGCAGGGATGCCCGGAGCATCAATGATTCATGTCTCCATGCGGCAGCCGCAGCACCATAAGCAAAAATAGCTCTGCCATTGTACCTGCTGCGGCCTGGCCCAGCGCAGAGTCACAACGCAGGACCCCATCAGCCGCCATCTGCCCCCCACCGATCCAGTCCTCACACAGCAGGGGGAGGGGTTTGCGGCAGCTTCAGGTCTCCTGACCCCTGGCTTCTGACTGCCTCAGTCTCCCCTGAACTGGGTGCCTGCTCCAGGCCTGGGGGCAGCGGCCTCATTGACGTACCCCAATGATCTGGGGCTGAGAACCCCAGAGGAGCAGGATACCTAGATGTTTCTGAGGGCAAAGGACACCTCCTCATCCCTCGCCAGGCAATGGCCAGGGGGTGCCAGGCTACTGTGCGGCTCTGGGCCAAGTGGAGGCCGGCCCCTTCCTCCTGTTCGGAGGCTGGGACGCGGAAGCTCAGCTTGGCGGCAGAGAAGCTGTCCCCACCCGTGCTGGGCAGGATGGGGACCAGGGATGGACCAAGGTGTCCCAGGAGGAGTTGGGGGGGGCATATGGACTCTTCCTCCTGACTACACTGCCTGCATCCCCTCCACGGCCCCTCAGGGCGTCCTGCATGTGTCCCCTGAACTCCTGCCTGGATGGCGCCATGCTCCCCCCTGGCCAGTCTCCCCCAGCAGGTGAAGCCTTTTAAACTTGAACAGCTATGTGCCCCGCCGCCCCAGCTGGAGGCCTGGCCCTCGGCTGGTGGCCCCTCTCCTGCCCAGTCCACCCAGTTGCTGGCCGGAGGAGCCAGGGGCCACCTGTCGGCTATGTGGGTTACCCCCCTCCACCTGTAGCCAGGGCTGAGCACCCTATGTTGGGTCACCTCTGCCACTTCCTCTGAGTCTGGGCTCCCCCAAGGCAGCACCTTCCTAGCAGCCAAGGGCCACCCAAGTCTACTGGCTTCATATGGCCACTAACAAATAACCACACAGTGGCTTAAACACACATTCAGTCCCTGCGGTGCTGGGTGCTGGGTGCTGGTACGGCTGTTTTCCTTCTGGGGTTTCAGGGGAGGTGTACTTCCTTGCCCTTTTCAGGCTCTAGGGGCTGCCCCATCCCCTGCTTCCTAGCCCTGCATCACCCTGACCTCTGCTTCTGTCTGTCCGTCTCCTCAGACTCTGACCCTCCTGCCTCCTCCTTGTAAGGGCATCGGGCCCAACAGCATGACCCAGGACTTACTTCTCAAAAGCCTTAATGCAATCATGTCTGTAAAGTCCCCTGTAAGGTGTCGCAGCCACGGGTTCTGGGGATCGGGGTGTGGACATCTCTGGGTGGCCTTGATCAGCTGCCACAGCTGTAATGCAGACCAGCCCACCCGCACCCTGACGGTCACAAGGCCATCCTCACTCTCCACTGAGGCCCAGACAGGGCGTGGGAGACTGCTGAGCTCAGGAGACCTGGTTCCAGCCCAGCAACACCCCCTCTGGGCCCGGGCCTCAGTTTCCCCACCTGCGCACGAGTGCAACACTCCTCGTACCCCTTTCCAGCTCCCTGGACTATGAGGGCAGCAAGGACGGTGGATGAGGAGGTCCAAGCAGTGGGCACACAGCAGAACTGCCTGGGACCCACAGTGTCCCTGGGGTGACATCCAGGCAGGAGAGCTGGCATCTGGTCACCTTCCCGCAGGGTGACCCAGGTGTCTGCCGGAGCTGGGTGCTCGCACACTGCACTGCCGCCTGATGCACCCCTCGGGAAACAGGGCGGGGGGCCGGACTCTGCTGTCCCGCGGCGGGGATGATCTCATCTGCTAATTTTCAAAATTAAAATGGTCAGTAGCGGGGAGGGCAGGTGACTCATGCCAGCGGGACAGGGCCCAGGGAGGTCGCAGGGCGGAGACGTGGGAGCACGGAGGGGGGCGGGGGAGGGGGCCGTGCATCCGGGCAGGACGGAGTCCTGTGCACGCATCAGGCTGGATTTCCCGGGCCTGGGGGCGGGCGCGCAGGGAAGGGTCTGGAAGGGCCTGGAAGGGCCGGCAGGGAGGCCCTGGGCGGGTGGCGGCGGCAGGTCCCCCCCAGCTGGCAGCAGCGCGCCCCGGGGCTCGCGGGGGCGGCGGGCGGCGCGGGGGGGCAGCCCCTCCGCAGAGGCCGCGGGCGGGGGCGGGGCCTGAGGGCGGGGGCGGGGCCGAGGGCGGGGGCGGGGCACACGCAGCACGCGGCGGGGCGGGCGGGGCCGGCGCGCTGACGTCACGACGGCCGCCGCGGCGGGGTTGGCGCGCTCCGTTGCCGGGCAACGGGCAGGCGTGGGGACCGCGGCTCGCGCAGGCCGCGGCGGGAGCGGGCGGCCCGGCCCCCGGCTGCCGTCAGCCCCGCCCGGGGCGCCCCCGCCCCCGCCCCCGCCCGTGCGGCCCCCGAGGCCCCCGCGCGGCGCTGCGGGTGCACCTCCCCGGCTCCCCGGCGCGTGGACGCGGGCCCGGCGGCGCGGCCATGCAGGGCCAGCGGCAGCGGGGGGCAGGCCCTGGCCGCTCGCGCCCTCCCGGCCGGTGTCCCCGCGACCCCGCGGAGGGGCTGAGGACCGGCCCCCGCCCCCCGGGCGGCCCGGAGCCCGCGGAGCACGGCAGCGCCTGGGGGGAGTTCGAAGGCTTTCAGGAGGCCCCGGCCAAGGCTGGACAGTTCGCGGCAAACTCGGAGGCCCCGGAGAGCCCCCCGCATCCAGGGCGGCAGGCTGGGGGGACGGGAGCCGCGGGCAGCTCGCCTCGTGAGGTATCTGCGGGCCGACCCGGGCTCCCGGGAGGGCTCGGCTCTGCGTCTCCCCTGGGCCCGTCCCTGCTGCCCTCCTGACCGGGCGGGGGGTCCTCAGGGGCTGGGCGCCCTGTGCCCGCTGCTCCCCGCCCCCGGGCGCCCAGTCCGCCGGCCCACTTTGCCCGCCGCAGTTCAGGGCACACTGGAAAGAGCTTTTCGTCCGAATTGTCACTCTGCTTCCTTAGAAAGCCTCCCCGAGAGTCACTTCCAGCCTGCGGCCCATGCCGCACTCTGGGCCCCTTGGCCCCTGGCTCTGCCCCTCCCGACCTCACAGCGGTTCCACCTGTCCTGTGACTGCACCTGATCCCTCCGTTCTCGGCTTCTCTTCCTCCACCATCTGCCCCCAAGGGCTCCCCCCGCCCCAGCACCAGGAGAACAAAAGCAGTCAGATGGGGAAGGGCCGGGAACAGGTTTCTCTGGTTCTAGGGGTGAGCTGTTTGCTTCCTGAGCCAGGCGGTGACCCCTGGACCTCGGCGGGGCACCCTCTTCATCAGTCCACCCTGCTAGGACGCTTGTCTTGGAAACAGGACTTGTCAGGGAACAGTCTGAGGATAATGGGAGCTTTGCAAGAGACACTAGGGGAATAAGGAAACCGCCCCCCGCTGCCGTGGATGCAGCTCTGCACACACGCACACCTCCAGTGCTCTCGGGGCCCCCAGGACCCCAGCTTGCACAGCTGCCCTCACCTCCACCTGCCCAGTGCTCACCCGCCCTCACCTCCAGCCCCCCGGTTTGCACTCCTGCACTTGCTGTCAGACTTTGCACAGCCCTCATTCCAGCACTTCACGCTAACTCCCAACCTTGCGACCTCAGGTCTCCGTCCGGGAACGGCCACCCTTAGTGTCGTGTGGCTAGACTTCCCAGACAGTTGACACAGGGGCGCCTCTTTCTCGTGAGTCACTGACGAGGCTTATGAGTATCGTGCCCTGACCCACTTTGCCTGCGCGTCTCATCGGGAGTGTGCATGGCGGAGACTTGTAGGAGCGAGCGTGTCCCGCCGTGGCAGCAGTAACGATGTGGTTGTTCACACGCTTCGTTTGCACCGAGGCTGCGTGTTGGGTACAAGGTGACGTAGTGTGTGTGTGTTTCTCTCTTTCAGCTCGCGCTCAGCTACGCGGACGTTTTCAGGTCTGCGTTTCAAGAAGTCCCGGTCCCGCAGGCCGCTGAAGGCATCTCCCCCTTAGACCACGTCTTAGACACAAGCAGCGAAGGGGAGCCTGGCTGCGAGCCTGTACACACACCGTGGTAATGAACCTACACGGGAACGGACATTTCTTACAGCGAGTCTGAGTTTATACTTTTGGTTGATAAGTGGACCTTTCCCGAGAGCCCGTCTCTCCTGAAGTCCCCACAGCCTTGGGGTCAGGGGGTCCTCACACAGGGACTGGGTGCCACGGAGTGATGCTCTGGCCACGGTCGCCCGCTGAGAGCCGCGCTCACCTGGAGCAAGGCGGACCGGGGGCGCCAGCTCCTTGTGTCTTAATGCGAGTGCTGGGGCTGTGGAAGGGCCTGGGGGCCTGGGCTGCGGCACAGCGCTGCCCCGGGGGACCTGACCCGCTGATCCTCAGCCACAGAGAAGACACGCCAATGCCCCGCAGGGACAGTCTGCACCCACAGGGTCAGCCAGCCTGAGCGCTCTGGGTGCTGCCAGCAAGGCTGGTGGTCCCCGGGACTAGTCCTATGGCCTGTCACAAACACAGCTGTTCCAGATGGCCATGTTCTCAGACACGCTTTCACTGGGCACCCGGGGAACCCACGTGTAGCTCACTGGATCCTGTGTAGTGGTCGAAAAGCCCGAGGTCCTCTGGGTCCAGGCCACAGGAGGAGGAGGAGAGGGCTGGTGTGAGCTGGCTTCCCTGGCCCCTGTGCTTGACCTCTTTGTCAGGGAGTTCTGCGGACTGGCCCTGCTGGGCTCTGGCTTCGGCCCCAGTCAGGGCCACCCCTGGGGTCTAAGCCAGTGCCTGCCCCAGGAAACCCCCGGCAGGGACCTGGGGACAGGCCTGAAGCCCAGGAGGCTGTCACCACCATAGCCCAGAGGGCCATGTGCCCTTCAGATGTGGCGCTTCCCTGAGGTGTGGCCCAGGCCAGCAGGCAGGTGGAAGGGCCTTCGGGGGCAGCATGAGCCTCAGACACCCAGAAACAGGGGCCCCCGGTGTCAGGTTTGGCGGGGTCAGACGGGACATTGCTGTTACTTTGGGGTGTAAACCCGTGAGGACGGCTTGGAAAGGAAGCAGGTGCTTAGCGTGACTGCCCTACTGTGGTCCGTGGGCACCCCTCTCTTCCCTCGGAGGCACTGGGCTGGCAACTGTGGCCGGTGCATGACGGACACCCAGCGGTCATCCTCTCGGCACCCCTCCAGCCCGAGTTGATGAGCATCTCTGGTACACGAGATCATCAGGAACAAAAGTAGTACCAGGCCTCCAGGAGCTTGTGCCCTTGGAGGAGCGCTCAGCCATGACCATGAGCCTGGCGGTGCCAGGGGCAGAGGGTGGCGGTGCCACAAGTGCTGGGGTGTTCGCTGTCCCGGAGGAGGCGTGCTCTGTTCTCGCGGCCTCCGAGGGCAGGTGCCCTCCGGCTGCTGTTCTGAAGGCTTCTCCGTCACCTCTTAACTAACGTATGTCTCTTCCAGTTCTGAATCTAGAGAACTCTGGAGAGCCCTTCAGAACACAACTGGCATGTCGGCCTCTCGATGCCTCTGGAGCAAGTCCCGTTGCCAGGAAAACTTCTTTCTTGTTCTTGGGATAGATGCTGCTCAGAAGGTGATTCAGGTGTACACGGGGCTCCTGGGGGTGCAGCTGGACTCCGCAGCAACTTTGCCGGCCACCCTGTGGCCGCAGGGAGCTGTCTACACAGCATGAGGGTAGGGGGGCCTTGCTGCCAGAAAACAGAGGTGGGGGAGAAAATGCACAGGTTTCTGGGGAGGGGGGTGATGAGGCAACACAGGCAGGGAAGGGGCGAGACGGGTCAGCTCATCAGAGTCAGGCCCCTGCTCTGTGCCAGGCTCCTGGCAGGACATTGGCAGACTGCAGGGATGGACACAGCATTGCTGGCGGGGGCAGTGGGGGTGGTGGCAGGAGTGGTCTCTGCTCAGGGGCTACAGGGGTGAGGGGGCGCAGGAGCAGCCTCTGCTCAGGGGCTGCAGGGGTGAGCAGGGCAGAAGTGGCCTCTGCTGGGGGGGGCTGCAGGGGTGAGGGGGGGACAGGAGTGGCCTCTGCTCAGAGGCTACAGGGGTGGGGAGGCAGGAGTGGCCTCTGCTCAGGGGCTGCAGGGGGGGTGCAGGGAGGGGCACAGGTTCAGCAGAGCCACAAGTGCAGGCAGAGGTGGGTCCTAGCACCTGAGGTGGAGCCAGCAGAGCTGGAGCAGAGGGGTGAGGGGTGGCCGAGGAGGGGCCACCGTGACATCAGAGACCTCACCAGTTGTATCCAGAACAGTCTCCTCGATCCAGTTGGCAAAGACCCTCCTGTGTCCCAAGTATTAAGGACGTATTCAGACACGGGACACAAGAACCGGCTGGCGGCCTCGTGAGGACGGGCCCTGGGACTGGCTGCTGCGTTGGCCGCGGGCCAGGGGGACCGCGAGCAGTGGGGGCCCGGGGGCCCCGTGAGCCCACCCGCACCTTGCCTTTGTGCGAGGAGTCAGCCGGGAGGACGGGGAAGGGACAGGCTGCAGGGTGCGGCCGGGCTGGGGGTGCAGGGCTCACCCTGGAGCGGGGAGGACTTGAGGAGGCAGAGGGCGCTGGGGTCTGGAGGGAGGGGGGGACGGTGGGACCAGCCCTGGTGCGGTTTCCCAGTGGCTGCGCAGAGGGGCGGGGGCGGGGAAACCCGGGGAAAGCGGCCCTTTAGCTTCCTTCCCGCTGGGTGACGGGCTTGGGCTCGCCTCACTAGGACCTTTCCGGAGACCTGGGTCACATTCCGGAATGCTCCGACCTCAAAGAGCCTGAAGAAGCGGGCGCGCCCTCCCGTCTGCAGCCCTGCAGAGCCCTGATCCAGACCAAGGTGAGCCGCCCCCCGGGACAGGCCGCGTGGGCCTCCGTGGTGGCACCTCCGACCTGAGGCTCATGGACTCGGGACAAACGGGCACTGCCGCTGTCCGGGGGCAGCCGGAGCACCTGGAGGGGAGCAGCTGTCACAGGACTGCTGGGCGGCAGCAGGGGCTGCAGGGAAGCCGAGGGGCGCACCTGAGGCTCAAGGGAGGGGCGCGCGGCCAGGGGCCCCTCCCACCCCCCTCTGAGGGCCGGCACAGCCTTTCCTGGGGCTGGGGCGGCCTGCACACTCGGGCCAGGCAGGGCCCCGGGGCACAGGTGGGGTTCCCTCTGCCCGCACCCCTGCCCCGGAGAACACTGGCACCCAGGGGCGCCCACCGCAGGGTCTGCCCTGATGGTGCTTGGTGTGGAGAGTGTGTGCCGGGGAGGGGCCGGGCTGCTGCTGCGGCCGCTGGGAACACACAGGGCAGCAGGGCAGACGGAGCACAGGAGAGGCCCTTTGTCGTCCGGTCACACAGGCCGGGGCCCTCTCCAGGGATGCCCAAGCACGCTGCTCCATCTGCTCTTTGGGAACCCCAACAGGTGGGAGAGAGAAGCTTCTAGACGTGCAAGCAGGGGCCCCTGAGAGCAGCCAGTCTAGAAACGTCCACAGCAGCATCACTCAGAGTAGCCCACGTGTCCCAGCAGCTGGTAGGCGGAAATCCGTGGATGCTGCAGACGAGAGCAGGACAGGCCAGACCCACAGCACCGGGGCCCTGTGACCCCACCTAGGCCCTCAGGCCAGCGTCCTAGCATCACTTGGGACCAGGAGGCCTGCGTGGCCCTGGGCCCGGGGACACAGCCCGCCGTCCTCCCAGCGTGGTGCCCCGTGCGCCGGGGGAAGCCGCGGAGCTAGCTGTGCGCTCCCTCCTGCACACGTCCGGGGTGATGGCCCGAGGACAGCAGCTCGAGGCAGTGGGGTGAGCCCCACGGGGCCGGGGGGGCGGCGGCCGCTGGCGTCTGCGGGCCCTGACCGCGCTCTCCCCTCCCGGCAGCTCTCGGGGCCGTCCGGCGGCAGCCAGGGGAGCCTGCTTGCCTGCAGCCTCTTTCTGAAGACGCCCTTACGCAGAAACGGGCAGTACGTCCCAATCCCATGGAAAAAGAAGATTTTCAATCCACGTACCCTGAAGATCACCTTGTTTCATAGTGACGTCTGCTGAAACAGGAGTACTTGGTATTTTTATGAGGAATTTTATGTTTTCTTACTGGCTCAGCCGGGTAGCTGGAGCCCGGGACCGCGTCGTGGGCATGTTTCCTGGGACGCCCGGGGCAAACCTGTCCTGCGCCAACGGGCAGGGGTCTGACCGCTTTAGAAGACTGTGTCCTCGGGCAGAGCCTTCTCCACAGGAAGGGGCCGCCCAGGGTCCCAGGAGCTCCGCCCCCGCCTGATACGGACCACGGTGGCATGAGGGGCCTGGCTGCCAGCGTGGCACCGCCCGGGGCACACCAGGCTGGACCGTCACGGAAGGCAGCCGTTTGCAGCTCAGGAAGTCCCATTGCATTGCTGTCACCTGGGGCAGGGCACCTGGTGGGTCAGAGCGAAGCGTGAGCACCTGCCTGCGGCTCTGCTCAGCCGCCTGGCTCTGCGTCCGGATGTCCCCGCGACTCTGCGCAAGCTTTGCTGGTTCTGGCTGAGGCACGGGTTTTTGTAAAATTTTATTAAATAAAGTGGCCTGGATAAGCCCACGTTGTTGGCGACTCGTCTGCCGTCGGGGGACCGTGCCAGCAGTCCCGTTCCAGCCCGCCCCTGCCCGGGAGCCCGCCCGGCCCTCCGGGGGCGGCCTGGGGACCTGAGGCTGGCGGATTGCCTGGCGCACGTCGCTGTCCTACCCGGGCCACCGTGCAGCTGGGAGGGCCCAGCCCCACCAACCCAGGGGTCAGACCCAGAGTGGCCAGCAGAGGGCACCTGCCTCCGCCCCCTCTGCGCAGTCCCAGACTGCGCGTGGTTTTGAGTCTCTCTTTAAAGGGTGACCAGATGATTTAGTGCCGGGTGTTTGGGAAACGTGCCCTAAGTCTTCACTTTCAGGCACAGAGAGATGGACACTTGGAAACTGCTTTTCTTCTACGCTATCCCCAAAGGGCAGCATCCCCCTGGGGACCCCGGGGTCCCGCCAGCAGACCCGCTGGGATGCGCATCGTGTCCCAGTCTTTCCTTCAAGTCAGACGTGAACTCAAAATAGGCCGTTCCATGGTCTGCTTCCTCCCACCAGTCACCCTGACCCGGCGCTGAACTCCCCCAGCTGCCCTCCCTGACCTCTCCTGACCCCCAGCCGGCCCAGCACCCCCCACCCTTCCCCCCAAGCCCCAGGCCAGGCCTGTCCCTCACTCCGCGTCCACGTAGATGTCAAGTGTGGTTTTTTTTTTATTTTTTTTTTATTTTTATTTTTTTATTTTATTTACTTAGGATAGTCACAGAGAGAGAGAGAGAGAGAGAGAGGCAGAGACACCGGCAGAGGGAGAAGCAGGCTCCATGCACCGGGAGCCCGACGTGGGACTCGATCCTGGGTCTCCAGGATCGCGCCCTGGGCCAAAGGCAGGCGCCAAACCGCTGCGCCACCCAGGGATCCCTCAAGTGTGGTTCTGATTCTACGTCCTGATGTCTGGCCAGTCTGCTCAAGGAGGGGCTTCTGAGCCCGGCGGGTGAGTGCCAACAGGTGCCCCCGGCCAGAACGTGCCCCGTCAGCTGCCAGGGCAGCTCCAGAATAATCACAGAGCCGCGGATTCAAGGAACCTACATTGATTAAATTCAGTGCCCCAGGGCCAGAGCGGGGGACCCCAGGGCAGCTCCATGCCCCTGGCAGGTCCAGAGTGGGGCCCGGAGAAGCGAGAGACCCCCATGGGGGAAGCTCAGGGTCCTGCTGCTCGCTCCAGGGGCCCCGCGGGGCAGCTGGGCCCTCGCCCCGGGCGCTCCCGGCCACGGCCTCTGCCCTGCTCTCGGGCCTGTCATCCATCCGACGGGGGGGGCCTCCGTGGGGCGGCCCCTCCTTGGGCCCAGCGCCCCGCCAGTGGCTGCGGCCTTCCTGAGACCCCAGCCCCCTGGGTCAGCTGGCCCGACTGCTTCCCACGGCCTCGTACTTGCACCAACGTGCCAGCAGGTGCCGGGAGAGTGCGCCCTTGTAGACGGTGGCCGCGGGCGGGCCCCATGCTCGGTGCTCCCTGGGCGAGCTGGCTCCCTGGCTCCTGGGGGCGGGTGGCAGCAGGCCTCCCCAAGGAGCGCTGGGCTGCAGTTTATACCTTCTGGGGCCTTTTCCCCAAAGACTACAAAAGTACAAGAACAAAATTAGCAACAGAAAGCAACTTGAAGCATAATGAGAAAAGGAAAAATGTAAAGAGGCCAGATCCAGAAACGTCACAGAGCGCAGGGCAGCAGCTCTCTGCATAACGGCTGCCTGCCTCCGTCCACGCCTCTCCCGGGCTTCGTGACCGACGTCACCGCCTCCCTGCGACAGTACTTCCACCCGGTCACCTGCTCCCGGGAAGAGCTCCGGGAGACATCTGCAGCAGGTGCCTCAGGAGGCTCTTCCAACCGCAGGCCCCTCTGGGGGCGGCGCTGTGACCCGGGGGCTGTGGGTCGGGGCAGTGGGCAGGGTCCCCTGCCACAGCCCGGACAGCAGGGGAGGTGGGGCATTGGGGCTCAGCTGGGGAGCCGGGGTATCAGGGAGTGGGCGGGGGGGGGCCGGGGGGGTGGGGGTTGGGGAGCCAGGGAGGTGGGGGGTCAGGGGGCCGGGACCTCCTGCCCTCCAGCCCAAGTCCCCGGTCCAGGTGTGGTGGAGGTACGGCTGTCCTCAGCCCCACTCCGGGGACGCTGCACGTGCCGCCTGCCTGGGGTGGCAGAGGGGCCTGCAGAGGGGCCCCAGGAGGGAGCTCTGGGTGGGTGCAGCAGGGGGGGCGGCACGGCCTTGGAACTGCCCTACTGACCACAGCCAGGTGGGCGCCCAGATGTTGACACAGAATGTGACCCTTAAAGACATGAAGTCTGTCCCCCAGACGGTAAGCCCGCGCTTCTCCCTTGGGCAGGTGGATGCATCTGGGAATAACAGAACTCCCATCCAGGACGAGCCCCAGGAACGCCACCCACAGTCCTGAGAGCAAAGTAGAGGCTCTTTGATGGGGCAGGTGGGGGCGTGTTGTAAACAGCAAGTCCATTGGAGGAAACTGGGAGCTTGGAGTGTGGAGGTTTCTCATTGCCTGGGGCGAGACAGTCTCTCAATGGCTGGCTGGACCATCTGTCATTGGCTGGGCTGTTGCCAGGGCAGGAGGAAACCTTCCTCCATCCTGCTGGGATGGTAGCAGTGTGTCCAGGAGCAAGGGGCGCATCTTCCTGTGGGGTCTGCAGTGGTGAGTGGTGGGGCTGAGCGCTCCCCCTGATGCCATTCTATAGGGGTGTCCTGATTTTCACACCGCTTCAGGTTATACCTTATAAAACATACTTTCTTTTCCACAAGAAAAAACTATGGAATGTGAAGGAGGCAGTGGGTCGAAGTCTCAGCCTGGTCCTGGCTCCTCCAAGGGCACCGTCCCCAAATCCAGCCCAAGTCCTGGGGCAGGGAGGCGGGTGCTGAACCACGAAGTGTGGGTGGTCGGCAAAATGCCGATGAAACACACCCAAGTGCAACAGGTAATGCAGCCGAACTGAACTAGGAAAAAGAGATCCCCTGGAGAATTATGATGCAGCTGATAAAGAACACATTTCCATTTGGTTTGATGGATAATTTTTAATAGAGACGCATACATGGCTGATGTTAAGGAAAGGTCACATGTTGGAAAGAAACAGGTCTTTTTGGCCAAGGGCTGGGTAAGGAAGGAAAGGCAGAAGCAGGAGTGGGGCAGGGGTGGGGAGAGAGTGCGGTCTTACATGTCAACCAGTGAAACAAATAAAAGTCTGAGTGTTCCTAGCGTCCAGGACAGCGTCATGGGGTCACGCATGCAGGTACCCCAGAGCCCACTTAGGTGGCACTGCCCCACCAACCCCCCAACGGCCCCCGGGATTGGGAGGTCACATGTAGTGAGTGTCCAAATTTAATTCTAGACTTAACCTCGAAGTTCTGTCCCAGCACCAGCGTCCCAGAGCAAGCGTGGCACTCTGCAGGCCTGCGGTCCCCAGACAGCGCCCTTCCCACACCCTGGGCACCCGGCAGCCTGTGCACGCCAGCCCAGTAAACGTGGGTCCAGCGGCCAGGCGAGCGTTGACCGTTTTACCAGCAGAATGGGCTTATTCAGGAATAAGAGAATTGCAACCCACCATGGCAGAACCAGAGGCAAGGCCAACAAATGAGAGGAACGTTATTTATGGAGAAGGGAGGAGTTGGAAGGGCTGTTTTGAACAGGAGTCCACAGGCGAGAAGTGGGAGTCCAGGGTGACAGGGACTCATCTCTGGCCGTTTCTCGTGGGTTTCTTCCCGTGGGGCCTGGAACCAACTCTCCGGCCGAAGCTTTTCCTGCTGGGCCTGTGACTTACGACCCTTGATGTCCAGTGGGACGGCGGGAGAGCCCCCCCCCCCCGGCCTCCTCACCACATTTTAATGACGCTTCCCTTGATCAATGTCCACGCCAGTCAGGGGCCTCCACGGTGGCAGGGCACGTACAGGAGGGGGCCCGGGAGTCAGAGCCCCTGAAGGCACCGCCTGAGGCCCCCGGGGGCCGGAGACCCCCGCCTCCAACACTGACACACAAATAGGCATAAATAAAACCCTCCGAGGTCCACACTGGAGACGTGGCTGGCACGGCAGATGTGGTAATGACACTCAGGAATAAGAGGTGGGCAGCGCAAGGTGCTCTGACTGCAGCAGGACGAGGAGAAGGCTCACGCCAACATAAAGAGAAAACTCACGATCCAGGTACGCTACACAGAATGTAGTGAAGCCTCGTGTAAGAAAGTCCTTATTTAAACCTTATAAAAAGAAATACACCGACTGCAACTGTTTAGGTTATAAGTTTCTAATGTAGCAGCAGAAAATGTTTATAGAAAAAATATACTTTTAAGAAAATAGCTGAAAAAATCTAAAAAGATAAAAGTATAAAAAGTTTAAAAAATATATCTTAAGACAAAATATTGCCCAAAACATATAAAACTTAATTTAAAAAAATTCACCTATCTAAAGTTAAACCAGGCTGGTCACGGAGCTGCAGCAGGACACCAGCGGCCGGCCTGGGTGACCAGCCCAATGGAAAACCGCGCAGCCCCTTCAGGAAGAAAGGGGAGAGGGCGACTAGATGTTGTTCTGGAAGGTTCTCCTCATCACAGACAAACCAGGCGCTGAGCTCGCAGATGCACGGCAGCGAGCACTCCCGGGCCAAGCACTCTGGACGCCTTACGAACCCATCCGTGAAGTGTCCCATCGGGGCACAGGGGCCCTCTCAGGTCTCCACCAGGATCTCCACCGCGTGGTCCAGCTCGCCCAGATCCGACCTGCAGCTGGAGCCGGGGGGCGGGGTGGCCGCAGAGGTGAAGGCCTGGAGCCCGCTGCCGTGGCCCGGCTGGGTGCTGCCCACCATCCCCGTGAGCACCGCGTCCAGGTCGTAGTAGGAGCTGTCCACGTCTGAAAACAGCTCCTCCACAGAGCCAGGGGTCTTACTCTCCAGCGTTTCAAAGATCTGATCTAGTGACTTCTGAAAGCCTCCTCTGTTCTCTCGAGAGCTGTCCACTTCCCAGAGGCTGCTCTGCGGGCTCCGCAGGGCCTGTGCAGATGGGACCGCGGAAAGTCCCGGGACCAGGCCTGGCATGCGGCCACCTCCGTCAGGGGCAGGGTGCTCCCCCTCCTGCTCCCGCACCGAGCGACACAGGATCTCAGTGGACACGAGGCGGTCCAGCGGTGCCCGCCCTGCCGCCTGGGGTGCCACCACCCGCCAGGTCCCGTCCTGGGTCATCTCTTCTTGGATCTGCCGGACCGTGTTGGCTATGAGGACCGAGCGACAGAGGTTGGGCTCGACCAGCATGTGGCACAACTGGAGCTTGACCAGGGACATGTCCAGGAGCGACTGGCGCTGCAGGCTGTAGGAAGGCGTGGCCTGGGTGCCCGCCAGGCCTCCTTCCACATCCTCCCCGTCCTCGGCGCTTTTTCTCTTTAACCCTCGTGCAAACATCGTGCCCTGTGGAAAGCAAGGAGATGCCATTTAGCACACTGCAGAGTCCCCAGCAGACCCTGCCCTGAGACTCAGTCTGCAACTGTCAAAGACGGGGTTCCTGGGAGGGGACGGCTGCAGTTACATGACCGCTGTGGCCCTGTGGGCATGTGTCCAAGCAGGGCCCGGCTCCTGGGACAGCCCTGACACAGAACAGAGCTCTAAACCACCACACGGCCCCCCCACCCTCTGCCTCCACCAGAAAAAAGAGAAATGGACTGCAAGTAAGGGAATACACTCGTCGGAAACAAGGCTGGAACGCTACACCCGGATGCTGGGCACTGGTGCCCACCGGGCCCACAAGGGAGGAGAGTGGAGGAAGCGGGACAGGTGCCTGCCTGCCTGCTGCCACCTGCCTGTGCCCAAGCTGACAACTGTGGGTCCCAGGCACTGGCAGCTGCTCTTCCCTCAGGGCTCACGGCAAGAGGGCTACAAGGGCTCCCGCGGCCCAGAGCCCTGGCGGTGCCCCAGCAGCACCTGGGCGGCTTCCCTACAACCATGTCCCCTCCCCCAAGGTACAGATGGGACTCAATCTCACCGGGCACCGGTGGGGCCAGGCACCTTGCGTAGGCTCTGGGGTGGCACTGGTGTCACTCACACAGCAGGCCATTACCTCTGCTCGCAGAAGCCAAAATACAAGCAAACTGTCCTTCGAACTGATTCTAAGCGGAGAGAGCTCCGGACAATCACAGGCAGAGCAGGACGGGTCTGGGGGCTGCAGGGTGGCACCTGCACCCCCAGCCTGGCACCAGGAGGCTCCAGAGCCGGCGCGGGGCACACGGCGAGCAGCCTGAGGACCACCCTCTCTAGACCAGAGGCGGGGGTAGGCATCAAGCGTCTCTCTTCTCAGGTTTGTAGGTAGCTAACCGTGTTGATTTCCAGTAATTCGAGTTATTCATGAAGAGGATTACGGTCTTTCAAATCTGCAAATTTTTGTATTTCCTTTTTTATAAAGATCAATGCAGTGGCTCTCTGGGGCCGCTGCTGGCCGGACTTTGGCAAGCCCGGGGTCCCTGGAGACCCAGGTGGGGTGGGGTGGCGCCGGTGCTGTCTGCACTCAGGCCCCCAAGTTCGGCACCCCTGCCAGGAGCCCCTCTGAGAACTCCCTCCTGCCAGCCCCACCCTTCAACAGGGAGGAGGAGGAGCCCCGTCCCCTGGGTTTCCTTTCGGTGTCGTAGATCTCATCTCCTGGATGTTTAACATTTTAAGACATTTTTAAAATGAAGTGTTTTGGGGGCACTTATCCCAAACAAAGAAAAGCCAACATTCATGCAATAACCTGCACAGGAATGTTCACGGTGGCTCTACACGTAAAGCCCTGCTCCAGGGAGTGGCTGACACCTGAGGGCACTGGCCGCACGCGGCCACTGGGCAGGAGGGCAGAGGGCCCTAGGGACACCAGACTTGGAGGGATCTTAGGGGAGTTATGCTCCAAGAGAAAGCCAACCTCAAACTGTTGTGCGTGGTACGCATATTTGTGGAACAGGACATAGAGATGTGGTGGGTGTAGCGGGTCCATGAGGCCGTGCATGTGCTCTAAGGGTGCAGAACCCGGTGTGAGCACCCAGGATCGCGACCGGCTCTGTGGTCACACACAGGACACGCTGCCTGGGCATCTTGCTGAAGCTCCGACACCAGGGAGGCAGGTGTTCTCCAGGCCGGTTCTTTACAGCGGCCCGTGCACCTGCATGTATGTATGTATGTATTTTAAAAGATTTTATTTATTCATGAGACACACAGAGAGGCAAAGACACAGGCAGAGGGAGAAGCAGGCTCCCCTGAGACCCGATCCCGGGGCCACGGGGTCACGCCCTGAGCCCAGGGCAGATGCTCAACCGCGGAGCCACCCGGCTGTCCCACCTGTAATTATTTAAAACTAAGTTTACAATACGAAGCGCCTGTAGCTTGTTCCCCCCTGGAGCAGCAGACCGCTCTGACCTACCAACTCTGAGGCCCCTGAAGCCACCTGCCATTTCCACCACGACACCTGCCACACACTGACTTGTTGCCTATTTTTAAACGAACGACGAAGGAGCTACTGCCAACCGCGTGAAGATTTCACTCACTACGACAGTAAAGGATCCGAGTGTTTCATGGCTGCAAACAACTCTTACAGGTTTTTTCTGTCAATCTTTGTGTAAAGGTCACTTGCTTAACACTGATGAGCACGTGGAGAATCTCGGTGAGATGATGGGGTACTAGTGCCGCCTGGGGAAGGACATGCAGGGTGCGGGGTGCCTGTCTTCAGGGCCTCAGATCCCAAGTCTGTACGGCAGCCCATTTCATATAGGCCCACTGAAGGCCCCGGAATCACAGGATGAGCCTGAGCCCCCGCTTCCGCCCCCAGCAAGACGAGTCAGCAGCAGGGCCCGGCTGTGGCCGCGGGGGCTCCTCAGACAGCATCCCTGTCCTCCGACGGCCGTCGGGCAGGGAGCCCGCGGGAGCCGGTGCACCCACAGCCGGGGCGGCCAGCGCGGCCTGCGGAGCGGGAGCATCACGTTCCACCGAGAAGCCGGGGTGGGAGGTGGGGTGGGTTACAGTCGCTCTCAGAGCCCGAGTGCGCACCGGGCACCGGCTACACCCGCAGCCGCAGCAACAGCCGCGGGAGCCCAGAGGAGGGGCGGGGGCCACAGCGAGCACCAGAATGCGCCCAGGGCACCCCAGGTCCCCCACCCGCGCCACCCTCCGCTTCCTCGGACCCGCAGCAGCCTCACGCCGGTTTACCATCTGTCATTGGCTGGGCTGGGACAGTCTCCCATTGGCTGGGCTGTTGCCAGGGCAGGAGGAAACCTTCCTTCGCCCTGCTGGGATGGTAGCAGTGTGTCCAGGAGCAAGGGGCGCACATTCCTGTGGGGTCTGCAGCGGTCAGTGAGTGGTGGGTGTGAGCGCTCCTCCTGCCGGCCTCCTGATGCCATTCTAAAAAGCATCGTTTTACTAATTTTTATACCCTGAACTGCTATTGTTATTCCCAAATAAACCCATTTTTTGCTAGTGAAATAACGAACTTTCATTTTCAAGGTTAACACGGCCCAGGAAGTCAGACTTCTATCTCCATGACAGGCCAGGAAACCAATGACTTCTGTAACAATCACCCCCAAGGGTCTGGACTTCATCAATAACAGACGGCTTTCCTAATATCTGTCCCCACCTCCTAGAGAAATCCAAACGTGCTCCCCCCACAAAGCCACCAGGGCGGCTGGCTCCTCAGGCTGCAACCCCATCAGGGGCCCTGGAAGCCCTTCCAGTCCGACTCCCCTTCCTGTCCCCAAGTGTCTTTCTGCAAGCCAGAAGGTGGCCCAATCCCTGGCGGCAGCCACTTCCAAAAACAGCCTTTGCTCTTCTCATGCAGGCGCCTTCCCTTGTTTCCGCAGCTTACTGTACATAATTGGGAAGAACATCAGAAAGTACAAGACAAAAATCACCGTGGCCGACTCCTCAGAGAAGCAGTCACCACACAGGTTCTTCCCAGCATCTCCCTAAGCAGCCTCCTCTCTGCATGAGAGCTCACGGCGAGCTGTTCTTGGTTACCGCATTTTCCATGTCAGCAAAAGCCGACCCTCAGGATAAACACAGCGCAGGAACTGAGCCTTATTCCCTGCATTTGCACCGCTCACAATCTCCCCAGTTACAGTGACGCTCGGTTCCGACCCGGGGCTTTATTGACAGGCACATGATCCACATTATCAAGCTGCTTTCTAAGAAGCAGAATCAGTTCACTCTCCACCAGGATTTTCTGTATGGACTTCCTCACATTTGCTGGCAAGCCCCCCCCCCACCACCACCACCACTTCACCCATTATTATCCCTGCTCCATACTCCTGCCACAAACCCAGTTCACCACCCCGGGTGTAAACATTTTCAGATTCAAAATAAGCAAGTCAAACATGTAAGCTGTGGTATGTCTGACAACCAAACACGATCCTGAAACAAAGTTCACGCTGATCTACGGAACGAGAGCAAACCTCGGCCATCACGCCTAATCACAAAGCAAGAACAAAGAAACAGGCACCCTATAATTCTGTTCACATGAACTTCGAGAAGAGGTAAAGCTAACCTAAGGTGTAAAATAGCAGAATGGTTGCCAACAGAGGGGCAGGGATGGTCTGGAGGTCTCCAGGATGATGGCAATGCACCCCATCTAGACAGGTGCATGGTCCTTGTCAGATTCACACAACTGCACAACTACTAACTGCCCACTGCATTGTATGAAGTAAATGATACCTTGGTTACAAAGAAAAATACAGAATCGAGTTGATGGGGGAGGCTACCACATTCATTTAAAGTGAAACCATTTTAGGTAGTGCCTCCCGTGCATCACTAAGCGCTGGATCTCACTCGGCATGCCAGGACAAGTATGTGTTCAAAGTCACTCTAATCATTCCCTTCTGATGTTCCAACCCCTGAACAACTGTTAATTTTTGTTACGCTCAGTACCAGCAAACGCTAGCTGCTAGCCGATTAGGATTTCAGAAGGAGTAGCCGGAGGGCAGCACATCCAATTCCAGGAGCCGATGGAGGGTCCCCAGAGCCTGTGTGGAGGTGATGCGTCAGGCTGACGGGGGCCGGAGAGCCTCACCGTCCTCACACAGTTGTGTTTACAACAAAGTCAGCACAAGGTGGGCACACAGACCCCGGGGGCCCGGCTGGTCCAAGTTACAGCTCCTGGGGCAGCCCGCGACAGTGGCCTGGGGCTGGACGTTTCGAAATCAGCACACAAGGCCCCACGCTTGCCAGGCTGCCCTAACTGCAGAAGCAGACTCACCATTCAGTCCTGAACAAGAAAGCGTTGGTATCACCTCCATCCCCCCACACACAGCCAGAGGGTCCCGCGGAGTTCAATCCCATCACCTCCTCAGGGTTAAGGGTGTTTTGCTCCAAACCCTCCAACGTCAGGGGACAAGCAGGCCATCAGGGTTCAGCCCTCGGTCAGAGCACAGCAGCCTCCAGACCAAGGGTTGATGGAACAGAGATCACGGGAGGGGTCCCGCGTCGGGGGTGGAGCCTGGGAGGGGTGCTGTGCCCATCCATGAGGGCGCCCCCAAGACAAAGGGGACCCCGGCCTGGGAGCTGCCTCTCCCTGTCCTGCAGCGGCTCTCCCGTATGTGGCCAGCAGCCCCCAGGCTGCCAGCAGACTCGGCCCTGACCTGGCGCATCCCTACGACCTTCAGCCACCCGCAAGCTCGCTCCTGACTCAGGTTTTTCCGGCAAAATAACGCGAACGCTGCGTTGTTTCGGTCACACGCTCAGGCTGTCTCGGAAACGTGTCACCCCAGAGAACCGAACCGGCAGGCAGGGCGGCGGCAGAAGGGCCCGGGTGCCCCGCGCGGCGTCTTCCCGCGGCGCTGCTCCTCCTGGGCCTGGGGTGAAGTGCACCGTCTGGGCCTGGAAACACGGTCCGGACGTTGGGGGACACTTCCTAGCGCCCTTCCGAGACACGGTTCCTTCTGGAGACGTTAAAGCGGGACTTTTCGTGGAAAACACGGCAAAACTTGCACGTAAGGTCACCCGCGGGGAGCGGCGAGCGGCGAGCGGGCGGCGGGGAGCGGGCGGCGGGCGGCCCATCCGTGCCCTGCGCCGCTGACCGCCGCTGACCGCCGCTGACCGCCGCTGACCGCCCCCGCCGCCCCCGGCCCGCCCCGCAGCACCTGCGCCCCGAGGCCCCGCCGGCGTCCGGCAGCTCGGGGCCCGCACCCGGGGCGCAGGCCGTTGCCCCCCACGGCCCCTTCGAAGCACTGAGGCCGGGACACAAAGGACAAGGAGCCGGTGCGCAGGTGGGCTCGGGCGGGAGGGCAGGGCCAGGCCGCGCGGCGACCCCCGGGCCCGCGGGCACCCCCGACAGCCGGGCCCCCGCCGCGCCCCGCCCCCGCCCCGGGGCGCCCGCCCGCCCGCCCGCCCGCCGCTCACCTGGCCGCCGCTCACCTGGCCGCCGCTCACCTGGCCGCCGCCGTCCGCGCCCCAGCCCGAGCCCGAGCCCGAGCCCGAGCCCCAGCCCGCCGCCGACGGAGGGGCGGGGCCGCGGGGGCGGGCGGGGGCGGGCGGGGTCGCTCCGCGCCCACGAAGGGTCGCCATGGCGCCGGCCGCCCCGCACGCTGATTGGCCGAGCGCGGGGGCGGGGCCTCCGGTTCAAACCGCGGGCGGGGCCTGGCGCGAGACTTCCCGCGCGGACGCGTTGGCCGTTGGGGCGCGCGCGCTGGCCGCCCCGCCCCGCCCCGCCCCGCCCCCGCCCGCTCCCAGGTCTCCGCGCGCGGCCCCGGCGCGCCTGCGCAGGACCCGGGAGGGGAGGGGAGGGGAGGGGAGGGGGGGAGGGGGAAGGGAGGAGGGGAGAGGACGGGGAGGGGAGAGGAGGGGGGAGAGGACGAGGAGGGGACAGGAGGGGGAGGAGGGGGAGGGGAGAAGGGGAAGGGAGAGGAGGGGAGGGGGAAAGGGAGGAGAGGAGAGGACGGGGAGGGAGGGGAGGGGAAGGAGGGAAAGGGAGGGAGGGGGAGGGGGAAACGGGAGGGGAGAGGATGGGGAGGGAGGAGAGGGAAAGGACGGGAAGGAGGGGGAAGGGAGGGGAGAGGAGGGGGAGGGCAGGGAAGGAGGGGGAAAGGGAGGAGAGGAGGGGGAGGGGCGAGGACGGGGAGGGAGGGGGAAGGGAGGGCAGGAGAGGAGGGGGGATGGAGGGGAGGAAATGAGATGGAGGGGAGAGGAGGAGGAGGAGAGGAGAGGGGCCCTGGGAAGAGGGGTGCAGGTAGGAGTCAGAGCGGTGGGGGCGGGAGGGAAGAGGAGGAGGGGGCAGCAGCCCGGTGGACAGCCTAGGATCGCAAGTACTTCCTAGTTTGTTTTGTTTGTTCATGAGAGACGCTCAGAGAGGCAGGCTCCATGCCAGGAGCCCGATGTGGGGATGTGGGACTCGATCCGGGACTCCAGGATCACGCCCTGGGCCGAAGGCAGGTGCCCAACTACTGAGCCACCAGGCGTCCCAGTACTTCCTAGTTTACATGCAAGAAATGAAACCCTAAAAGTGCAAAGCAGGGGGGTTTTGTAAAAATGATTTCTTAGTGGAAAAACGTCTTAAATAGACTATGAGATCCTGACGGCATGAATCGAAGCAACATTGCCTGAGCGCAGGCTGGGCCGCAGTCCCGGGTGAGGGCCCCCGCGCCCTGCTGTCTGCTGATGGGGCTGAAGACATCAGCCCCCCTGCACCCCACCCAGGGTGGGAAGTGCTGGGCACCCTGTGCAGACAGCGAAGTGGGGGGAGTCCCAGGCTGGAGACGAGGAGCCCTGGGGTTCCCGGGGAATGTGCAGTGGGGAGGTTGGAGACCCCAGAGCCTGCTGTGGAGGCCGAGAAAATTAAGGCCACTCCACCTCAAGTTTAGCGTTAGCACAAGTATCGCCATCTCAGGCCCCTGTGGATAAGAGCTGAACTTTACAGGGAAAACCTCAGA